GCCCTTAACATGCCATTAAAGTCGGACGTGATTTCCATTTCGATGCAAATCGCGTAATTACAGCCGATGATGAATGACGACGACAGAGTATCGAGCCGTGGCAACGAGCCGAAGCGTTCCAATGGCCAGGAGCCGCTTATAATTCTCGAAAGGGGACAAAACGAATAACGATCACGATTGTCCTTAACACACTTTCGCGTACACCTTTTTATTTATTCTTCTATCGCGTTCCGTCACGATTAAACCCTCCACTCGGTTTCTTCACCTTTAAGTTTTTCATTAATCTTCCTCCGCTGGCTCTCGCCGCTCTCGATCCACCACTGATCCACATATTTCCCGATTACGACGATGAACGCGGGTTTTGTTCCATCGTACACCTACATAGATACACGTTGTTCCACGATTTTCACTCTGACACACGCTGCTAGACGATAATTAGAACCAGAGTTCGATTACGTCGCAATTCCGAATAAATTCCACGGGAACTATGATCGTAACTTCGATCTTTTCCGTTAGGGTTTGTGTGTCAGGCGTAATTCACGACGTGACAGTGACTGTTATGGTGTTTTTCAAAGAAATTTAGAATCGATCTTCAATAACGGTTTTAGGATATTCTTTTAAGCCTCTTTCTAGTTCTCATATTTTTCCCCATCAGATTGTACTATTAGATATGGTTTATGATACGACAGTGACGTGCTATTTCTGACAGTTACAATTTAGGATTTATCAGTAAAGGTATCAGGATAATTTTTTCTTTAAAGTTCTAAGGTTTTAAGCAATTTTAAGGCAGAGTTCCTTTAAAAGTTTGAGACATTTTAATAAAATGGCCGTTAATTTCGGGGGATCATAAACTTCGATCGCTGTCAAAGAAACCGCGTTAACAATTCCGATCGTTTGATATTCTTTTTCAGATATCGTTGTAACGAATCCGCGCGAATATTCTGTAATATAATATTTATAAAAGATGTCTATAATTGTGCCTATAATATTAGATAACAGAACTCTAGGATATAAATTAGTCGAAACAAATTGCAGATAGAATGCGTTAACGCAATGTTGGCACTTACTGTGTTAAAAAAGAGAAAGGGAAAGAGAAAAACATAAAAAGAAGACAGAGCAGAGTAAAATTTGCTGGCCAGCATAATCCGTGGACGGATGAATCCGGCGAATTTCAATTCTCCACTTTTATCAGCGCGTTTCACGTACGATGCAGAGGGCAATCCAGCGACCACCTGTGTACGCTGCTGGTGCAGCGGGTCATCCGATGTCGACTACCAATACGGACTGTCAAAACAGGAGGGTCGTGCTCGCCCCGAGGCTTCGAACCCCAATTACGGCTAATCAGTTTCGTCGATGACATCTTTGAGCCGTGCACGGCTTTAATTAGGAACACGGATGTCGCTTTTTGTCCTTGATTATTGGGATCGACGAATCGGTACGAGCCTGTCCTGCAAGATATACGTGAAATCTCTACGAGCAACGATTTCGCGAATCTACAGGGAATTTTGAATCTATAGAGGTGCAATTCGCCCATAATCTCGTCCACCGGACTTGTGCTTATTTTGAACAAAATAATTGCTAGAATTTAAATAGATCTTATTAACTTCTGAATTGATTCTGTTGTTTATTAATTAGAATACTGCCGCTTTTTTTTTTACAAATTTATATTTTCGATGACACAACACGGAAGATAGAAGCTTGGTTGAAAATTATTTTCCCTTCTTATTAAGTATTCTGAAAAGCACTGCACTTTGGATATTTTATGTATATCTTCATACTACGCGCACTCTGTATAATTTTGCAATTTCCTGTAAATGGGATAAAAATCCGTAATCGATCCATAAACTACTCAGTTGCATTAGAATATGCGCGATTTTATGCTATGAAACGATCCATATTGTGAAACGAAGTTGGCGTTTGCGTCAAATGTTAATATTTACGTAATGTCAAAGGTACGGATATTCTACACTCTGCTTCAAGTAGGCAAGTATCCGGTGACTTATGAACATGGCAGTATACATACGTCGAGAATATCTCGATGGGTGTAAACGTTTATTCGATAATAATTGTCCAGACATAGTTCGATTGTGTAGATTCCCTATGCAAATGAGCCGTTTTGCATGAACGTTTTGGGAGCCACTTGAATACGATTGCGGCTACCCCGATCTACCGATACGCGGCTTTACAAGTTTGTTATAAACGCAGTATTCGTTATTTGCTGCCTCGTCCCGTTACAGAGTACTGAGATTAATTTTAGATTATCTTGATTATTTATCGTGTATTTCTGTTTTATTCGGTCGATAGAAGTGGTAAAAAATTCGAGTTTAATGTATTAGGTGCAGGAAGAAATTCTGTGCTTTTGGTTTAATATTTTATAGTATAATTTTGCAATTTAGAATAAGCCATTTGAGTTAAAATTTTATATGCCTTATTAGGTTTTGTGATAAATAATTGCAATGATATTTAATAATATTTAACGAAGTCATATAATGACGTAACGAACTTAATTCTATGAAAATGAATAGACAAACAGGATTAACGTTAAAAATGTTTAGAATATAAAAATGGATCGTGAAATAGTTTATTTCCTACATGTAATAGTTGGTGTGCAGTGCTACGTAAAACGTCAAACCTGAATTATTCAAACTACATCAGCTGAAAGTTTTAGATGATCCTCATTTCAGAAATATTTTCCACTTTCATTAAAGTTCTAGAGTAAAAGTGCATTGTGAAATATTTAACAGCAATATTTGCTTCGCTAAACAGCGATAAACTTTGTTACCGGTCATATTAACATTTCATACCACTATGCTTCGTGTTTTCACTAACATTTCCTTTTAAAATTATGATATCAGGTATCCTAGTTTAGAAACAACTATATAAAACTAAATACTATATATAATAACTATATACAATTAAAAAGAAACAACTATATAATACAATAAACGTATAATTAAATAAAAATTTCACATATTGTATATTTAGTTATAATGAATTTTATATGTATGTATGTAAATTCCAATCGCCCTAAAATCATTAAACATACGAGAAAAAGAGATGGATAAAAAGTTAAAATATGAAATTATGTCACAAAATTCTTCAAAGTATATCACACGCCTTCAAGATTGAATAATACTACCAATTGTACAATCCACGATTGAAATTCCATCGAAAAATCATTGAGAAATATTATTCAATGAAATCGAATAATAAATCAATAAAAGTATGACAAATTTTCTATATCTGATCGCACTAAGAACGCTTCAAATTCGAACCCCTGAAACAAATATGATTGCACATAATCCAGGTTCCAGGAGTTAAATTTTGTAAATGTCTATATATATTTTCCACCATTTACTTTCCACCATTACGAACATGATCGAAGCTTGGACGAAAAATTATTTATCTCATTATCATTAGCAATATTATTGAAACTATAGGACAACATCAGGTTTGAGTATTTCATTGCATTAAGCACATCTCGAAACCTATTCTCTTGGAAGAAATATGGTTACGTACAACACAAGTTCATCAAGTTTAAACAAATTTCTCATAAAGAAACTTTTAACTTCTCGGTATCCTCATGAAGCGTACAAATTCACGCCCAAATAACCTGCAACCCATTTTTACCTGCAAATAACCATCGAGCAATATGGTTAGACGTAATCGAAATCGGATATTCCTCGACAAACCACACCGTTGGTCGTAATCGATACGATCTAATGAATCGTGAAATCGTCATAATCGAGACGATGGTTGATGAAACGAAGCTGTGGAAAGTATTCGTAAGTCGATACCACTAAACCTTAGGGTAGTTAATCGAACGCGGCGATGTTTGTAGGGGTGATTTCGTGGCCGCGTAAACAAGAACTTTCTCACCCTCGTTCGAGCAGGCACGCGAACATGATATCGAGAGTCTAGCATCGAGTGCCAGTCGCGAAGAAAAATGTTTCGTTAAACTCGTCGTTCCAGCCAGGTGTAAAGGTTTAGATATATAACTTTGGAACGAGCTTACAACATTAAGTCACCGATTATATAATATATTTGTCCGTTTGGTTGAATCGTACAAATTCTTTGCCACGTCGAAGGAAATTCAATTGCAGGGTTTTTCATTCGATCTCTTTGAATCGCGTCGTTTCAGCCTTTCAGAGACGTTAAAATGGAAAGGTTCCTTTGGCCGACACCTTGGTGTCATTTAATTCTCTCGAAGCACGGTGAAAGGAAAATTCTTAGCATCTCGTGAATGTACAAAAGAAACGTCGAGCTTCCGCTACCGGTTAACGCGAGGAAAAAGAGAGGACGAAGAAAATATGGCGAACGAAGAAGCACGTTCAGTCCCTCGAACGCTTAACGTCGTTGATTAACATCCAAATGAAAGCCTTCAATTCTGAAACCGCGGCGGAAGCCGTTACATAACGAGCTTTAAGATGCGCAGGAGCGAAGTTCATTGAAATGCTGATGATCTTCAGCCATCCGACGCGTTCGGAAAGCTAAACGGCGACGAAACTTGCAGAAGTCAAAGAGCGCTCAGGGACGCCATGATTAATTATAGACGAACGCGTCGAGGTTGGCTTTATGGTATTCGAATCTCCAAGTGCCGAAGAACAAATCCGATGATCGAAAGGAAGGGCAAGTTCGAGCAAGCTTCCCTTATCTCCTTATCGTTCTTTTAAGAGAAGTCAGCTGGTTCTTATCGTGCAAAAATCTGTGGAAACCGGCTAGTCTTCCGGTTGCAGCTCAAGAAAGATTCCAAGACTTTCATTCGGAACTGAAGAAGTTTCCGCGAACTCCTATAAATTTTGATGCCTCCCTCAGATGGGCCGAACTATTCTTGCTGCTCTTACCGCGAAACTCTCCCAAGATTACTCTCCTTTTTTGTCGCTGTTTCGCGGTATGATTCGGCTCGTTCGTTGAACGAGCAAGAGCGAAACTTTGAGCCGGAATATTACGAGGAATATCACGTCGAACTGTATGTCGGGGTTCTCTCTTATAGAACTTACCAGGCCACGTTTCGTACGCCAGCGAGCCGATCGATTTTCGTTATGAGGGTTGATTCACGTGCTCGCCCTAGCGACATAGGGCGGGAATCCACGACGTTTAAAGCTGAACAACAGAGCATAATCCAAAACGATGTACGCCACGACGAATCAGAAGGACAGGCTCGATTCTCGAACGTGTTTCAATGGGCTCATCGTGGAACCTGTTGGATGTACACCTGAACAACGTTTTCACTGGATCACAACTCTGACGCTGCTTGCGTTTAACACTTCACTGAAAAACTGTCGTAACTCGGCCTTTCTCTATCACTGAAAACACACAAGACTTTTCTCATTCGACGGAAAACGATTCCATCCACATGGAGCGCGACTGCATTTTATCTTCTCGACAAACGCCAACACCTTTTTTTCCACGAAATCCTTACTACGGATCGACCGCTAATTAACGAGTCGATCCAGCGAGCCCGTTATCTATAAATATACCGGTTGATTATACCGTTGTTTCGCTTGGATTCATCCATTCATCACCTGTCATTTATCTTTACCCTCGGTTCGACGCACTGATCGACGTTGGGATCGAGACACGAACACAAAGATACGTACTCTCGCGATCACAACGATTCTCCACCGAATAGACGGCTCTCGCGTATAAAAGGCAAAACTCCACCGATTAATTACGTCTCGAGAGCAAATCCACGTGACAGTGTTTTCCACGAGCAACGTTGCACTATCGAAAGAACTCGAGGATCCCCTCTGCTTCGTGACCCTTCGATAATCTCTTCTCCTCCGGTATACTCGCTTGCGAGATCGTGAACGTAAACCTTCCACCGCCCAAACGAGATTCACTTTAGACCTAGCTGTAGTTGGTGAACACCTCTCTCGCCCCCGTTTACACCCCACTCCGCGTATGTCCGCGCCCGTAGTAACTTCTACAGCGATAGGAATCGACGTCCTTCTCACAAGGACGTTCTTAGAGGAGAGTCGATCGACCGTGCCACATGGACACCTAACCTCAAATTTCGAGGACAGGCTAGCGCTGCCTCGTGTGTCGCACGAAGACTCGCCGCGCTCGACCACGTGTTCCACAGAGAAAGGATCGTACACGTCCGCCACCTGCGATCCTTCCTTGCCAAGTGTTACGGGTGGCCGCGATATGACTGAGCTGTTCGCGTGCACGCGTCGCTTCGACGAACTGCAGCGACCCGGAATTTGCCCCTCGTCCTCGACACTGAACCGAACGGAACACCACCAGCACACGGTCCCCTTGTCTCGTAGCGCGCGCGCACCACAACGTTCAATGATACGACCGACCACTGATACGACGGCCCGAGAGGATACGGAGCTTCATTCAGGACAGGAAAGTTCGCGACGGGACCCCCAGCGAACTCGACGCAGCGTCGCTCGTTCCGGAACGAACGACGCCCTGTTGTCGTCGCGGCACGGGGTGAACGCACGACTTTGCGGATGACGATCCGCGCCCTCCACCACCCAGAAACTACCTTCCGCCGCTACCGCCACTACCGCCACCACCGTCTCCACCTCCACTGCCGTCACCCACCACCACCACCGTCGCCATCCACCTCCACTGCTTCTACAACCACCTCCACTTCCTTCACTAATACCACCCAACGGATTCACCATACAACCTTACCAACTCTCCCTATGTGTATGTTGAGAATATTACCAATACCCGTAGCCCTCGTTGCGAAATCCTGCTCTACTGCTACCGCTACCGACCGAGTAGCTGCTATCCAGCTTGAGCGTAGCAACATCAACACGCTGATATTAACGTTAATGTTCTGTATCGTCTTTCTCTCTCTCTCTCTCTCTCTCTCTCTCTCTCTCTCTCTCTCTCTCTCTCTCTCTCTCTCTCTCTCTCTCTCTCTCTCTCTCTCTCTCTCTGTACCCCTGACCGTATACATACACGCGTGTGCGTGAACGGGGTTACAAGATAACAGGGTTGTGAGATTATGTAGCGAAACAGTGGTACAACTGCACGCAGGGTTGTTTAAATTTGCTATCCGTCACCCGTGAAGCTTCGCTGTTGTTGCCCCGTCAACGGGGGTGACTGATGAACGACCCGTGAGGCTAGGACCTCCGCCTCTGAAAATTCTATTACACTTGTATCACAGATCTGTTGCCAGCCTAACAACGGGAAGGTTGTTTCCTGAACTACTTCTGTCACGTTTGTCATTGCTGGGACCAGTTATTTTTTTGCTCTTTCAACGACTCCTGATAAGATCTATCTTAACCAAACCCTTTCCTGTATCTTACATAGAGATCCTACAAACACCAACTCGCTGGCTAGTCCTACGAGACCGCGGTATACCTACCGTGCACCGTTCAAACGTGGTTTACACCCACACTCGTGCTCGAGTTTCTATACGCCCCACCAGCTCGATATCGACACCTACAACGGCGTAGATCCAACGAACACACGGAGAAGCTCTCTCTCTCTCTCTCTCTCTCTCTCTCTCTCTCTCTCTCTCGCTCTCCCTCTCTCTCTCTCTCTCTCTCTCTCTGCCTGTAAAAAGCAGATCCTGCCGTACGAAATTCTCAGCCAGTGGTTCTCCTCGCGCAGGTCAGAGAATTCCCGTGACGGTTGACAAGAATCGTCGACAAGGGGCGGTGGTGGTGCAGAGAGAAGAGAGGCTGGTCCACGGGTATCCTACTCGCTCCCTTGGTGGTTCTCCTGGTGTGTTTACGGGGCGTCTCGACGCAGGCGCCACCACGGGGTTGGGTGGTCACGCTTGGAAGTAGCAACGTCGATCGAATCCCCAATTGGGTGGGAGATGTGGGCACCTGAGGGATGTCGGGGTGGCGGGAGGTTTCGTCTCGAGGTTAGGGGAAAACGGCGAACCCTCCGCACACAACGGTAGACCAACCTATACGGGACTCCGATAACATCGCCGCGACGCGGTTACGCGCGTCTTTGTGAATGGAGACAATGCGGAACGTGGCAATCCGACGCGAGAGAAGGTCGCGACTTTCGTCTTTTCAGAGATATTCGGTTTGGTCATACCGATGACCCACTTCGAACGCTTAGTTCCCCCGTTTCGATTAAACGGACCTTCTCTCCGTGACGTGGATGATAGCTTGTTTCTTGCTTCGTTAATGTCGCTGTGCTGCTGGATATTGGTAATTTCACAATTGGATCGATCAGTGTGGTCATTGCGAATGATCGATCGTTGTCGGTCGATGGGATTTTAATTAACTTTCTTTTCGTTGGTTTTGCCAGTCCCGATTTCTACTTGAATAGGCTTAATTTGATGGTTTTTAGAGCTACTTTTATTCTTCTATTCCGTCATATCGAGAAAATAGGTGGAGAAATATATTCAAACGCGATTTAGTGTAAAGGATGATGTCAAATTTAATAAAAGTTGTGGAGCATAGTCTTCTCAGTTTACTATGAAAATCTATAAAAATCGCCATGCGCAATTTCTATATCGAACATGTTTAACTTGGTGACTTTTTGACGTGATTTTTGTTTCCTGTGTGCAACATCATCTATAATCCTGCAGCAAGGTAGGGAAATATCAGGATCAAAATATTTTCATATAAAGTATTTTTATATAAAGGATGATGGAATTTTAATATAAATTATAGAGCATAATCCTATCGGTTTAAGTTGCTGAGGAAATCGATGTACCTATTTGGGTATTGTAAACGTCATATTGATTGATGAAACCTATACGAAGATCCCATAGGAGCAGCTTATGAATCTTCAGCATGATCCTATTACATTAGTTACTGTAACTTTGGTAGTGTGTTAACTGACAAAATTAAAGCGAAATAAGGCAAAGTTTACGTCGTTAACTTCTTTTTAAACAATCGTTGTTTCCATACATATTCCATAAATTCTCTCGCATCTTGACTGAATTAATAATTAAATGTTTTTTTATTCAACTAAATTTACTTTAATTTTTTCAAACGATTGTTCGTAGTAATCAAAATTTCATATGCTCCTGCAAATGCAATTGGAATGCTAGAACAAGCACAAAGTACAATAGAGGCGACGCATTCGTTGTATAATGCATGTAAAAATAAGAAAGCTGTCACGCCTCCTGGTTCGATCGCATTGGCTCGTTCTTTGAAAAGGACAACGATTCCATACTCCCGTTACGTAAATGTTTGCACGAAAATATTTCTTCTATTTACAAATCGAAAAAGATTTACAAAATAATAGATTTTACAAAAGAAAAAAATAATAATAATGCATCTGAGTTAAGAAACAAATAACGTCGAGGAATACACTGCCCTATCATGTGTCCAGTGTTGGTAAAAAAAAAACACTCTGATAGAGAAGAACAAAGTTATGAACAAAGAAACGAGGCAACAGTTAAAAGAGTATTACGATGGAAATGTGCAATTCCACGAACGTTCACGCAACTTCGAGCAACGACAAAGGTTGCATTTCGCATCGGGGGCCGGTTTGAAATCGCTGGCACCACTTTAGGATCGATCAAAAAAAAATTTGGACGAGCGCTCGACGAGGATAACTGTAACGAACATTCATGCTCGATAAAGAACCGACGAGAAGAGAATGTCGACGGATTGATGAATTAATAAAAAAAAAAAAACAACAAAGGGAAAGAAAGAGGAGGAAAAAAAAGAAATAGGAGGAAGAGAAATGCAGCAGTCGGACCCGTGACGGAGCGAATCAAGCTCTGAGATCGCGTTTCTCTTTGTTTATTCGTTCTTTATCTATTCATTCAGCCGCTCTTTTCAGGTTTGCCTACTAATGGAAGAGCAGTTGAGAGTGTGTCAGTGAAACAGGTCGATGTTCTGTCCGACGGGCCTGAATTGAATCCATAGTTCGTCGTAATAATAAAAAGAAAACGAAGAAAAAGCGAGGGAAAAAAGATGGGATTCCATTTGCTTGGCAACTCGTACGACTAATAGAAGAAGAAATCATTTCCACAATATGATCTGTATGCCAAGTTTCGCGTGTTTGTCTGAACCGTGGTTATGATCCATCATTCTCTTCGATCTGGTTTATCTTTCCTTGAACCCCATTATACCACCATGATCGAGTTCCTAACATATTTTCCGGGGTAATAGGCGATCGGTGCAACCCTTGAAAATGCTCGGTGTTTGACGAGGGTATTATATCAAAGTTTCACGCCAATAGGAGGCTGATAGTTTTTTGATGGAAACTTGGTCTCCTGTTATCGAGATGATATTTTGTAGAGATGAGTCGAGATATTTGTTATGGTCTTATCAATTCGACGTTTTGGCAAAATTTTCCGAATCTTTATGCATTTGTGGAATATTTTTCTGGGTAAAAACATACAAAATGGACATAGTGCGCAAGAACATAGAAAATATCTAAAGTAATGTACTTGTTATAATATTTAGAACTGAAGCAGTTGTACAGTTATAGTTGCATTGTACAATTATGTAATTATCCAAGTTTTATACATTTATATATTTTATACTTGTATCTACATAAGTATTATATTTTTTTATGATAGAAAGTGTTTTAAAATTGAAGCATTGGGAACAGAAATCTAAAATTCAAAATTATTCAACAACGAAGTTGAAATTTCATGAGGATAGTGCAGGCTTTAATATGTAGATTATTGATACAGTATCGCTGCATGACGATGACCCTGTCAATTATAACACAATGCGCTCGAGAAGCGTACTTGTATTATAATAAATCATACTTGATCACAGCTCGTTAAAGTACATTTCCATTAGAGTGCATTCAGTTGTAGAACACGTACTGTGTTGAATAGACTTGATTATTGTGAGCTATAGTGATAGTATTTAAATACAATTCTGGTGGAAATTACATTTACAAAACATTCCAATGCTTAGTACATTACTTAATTCGGTACTCGCTCTACCGCAATATCAACTCAAAACAATATGTACGTATGTTCCTCATTTCGATTTAGAGAATTAAAATGAGCTATCCGTGATTATGTATCACGCCCAACTACAATTAATCATTGAAATCCATGAGATTTCAGAGTAACTTTATATACAACAGTGTCAACCGAGAAATTTACATAAGTGCCAGTACATAATAAATACGCTGAAAATACAAATAAAGTAACATACAAGAGCCTCTGTGCAATTTATTGAATTTCAATTACAAGCAATAACAAACGACCTTCAATTATTATATATAATATGATAATCATGATTATACGACATATAATTAAATTACAACTGTGTACAAAATTATATTACAAATTGTTCTCTCAGTTATCGAAACAACCGAAGCAGGCGAATACAAAGTACATTCTTTTTAATGGTATTACTTCAAAGCCTCTATCCAAATAAATCCTTTATTCGAACAAAAACTAAAGGAAACTTTAACTACGATAAACAACAAAAAATAATGTTCAATCTCTGTACTATTCTGTACTATTCTCTCTCACGTTATTACGAACTAGAATCTCTCTACCCTCTATTTAAAAACAAAAATCTAAAAAATCTGTCAGACCAGAGAC